AATGCCCTTACGCTTATATTGATTGGGTCGATTCTTATGATAAGGAAATTTAACATAAGCCGATATTAATGCGCATTTAAAACAATATTCGTCTCTATTTTGCACGTTGATGCAGGCTTTTCTGTTTACTTTTTCTCTTGGTAAATCAATGAAATTAGAGCCCTTTATGAGCTGATATTTATTTATATTAACTTCTAAATGAACTATTTCAATTATGGACCAATCACTGTCTCGTTCTTGAAACTCGCTCATTTCACTTTTTATATAGTCATTTAAATTTTTGATTATTTCATTTAGATTTTCAGTCTGACTCGTTGTTGGATTAAAGGCTTGCATTTTTGTTTGAAATGACTTTAGATTTATTTCACAATGATTTTCACTCTCTTTAATCAAAACATAATTACAGAATTGTTCAAAATTGAATTTGATATTGACGTTTTTTTTGAGCTTCTTGGAGTAGAGCGATCACTTGTTCTTTGATTGATTGTTGAAATAATTTGATATACAAGCATTCTTTATTGGGATTTGTGATTATATAAGTTTCAATACGATTGCGAAATGCACTTCTTATACACCGCAAGTTATCACTTATTTGCGTACCAGATAATTGTTTATGCAAGTTGATGCGTAAGTGATGCGACCAACTAATTTTAGCAACATTTAGATTACAGACATCACCATATCGTATTTCACTAGCGACAGGATTGTTACTAGACCCAGGATTGTTATTGTTATGTAAAACACCAGCCATTTTTGTTTTTTGTTTTTAAATATTAATTGAAAAAGTTTATTGATTTTTCGTTTTATTATTGTTCTTCGTTACAAAAGTTTAAAGTGTAATTGTCGCCTTCCGATTTTAGTTTGACAAGCTTATAGCCCCCCGTCGCAATATGCTCGACAGCTTTCGGTTGCAGAGTACTAAAACGTTCTGATAAAAATACCACAAACTCTTCAAAAGTAAGCATAATTTTATCGCCGAAGCGTGTCCGTTTTACTTCGGCATTCTGGATCGGAATCGGTTGTGTTAAACGGGAGAGCTTTAACGCTCTTTATCGGAGGTAGAGAGACGGCACCAAGCTCATTTCATTGATCTTCAAAGTTAGTTAGCTGCTGATGATGTTGATGACGAAGTCTTCAAATAGTGCGAGTGACTTCTTGCTCTGAATTTGACTTCTGCCTTCTGAATTACTGTAGTACTTACATCTCATATTTATACTAGTTTGCGAGACGAAAAAATCTGAGAAAGTTTGCGAAAAAATGTATTTAAATAAAATAATTACTCTCAGAGAGTTTGCGATAAATACTTATGCATATTTAAATAAAATAAATACGTGGGGTAAGTGATAACAATATATATAACAATGTTGCACGATAACACGGGAAGACAAGCGGGAGGGGGAGTCGGAGGGGGAGTGAGCGCGGTCCCCAGAGTGTTCCACAACATTCCAGAACACTCCAGCACACTCCAGAGCAGCTCCGCCCAGCAGCAACAACAACAACTTCCGCTCGCGATAAGCGCCCACACCAGCGATAAAAATTCTGCTCCAGAACATACAACGCAAAATTGGTCCAGAACATACAATCCGAAATTGGTCCAGAACATACATATTCATCGTACTAACTACTCTTTTCTAATTGTTTTTTCCCCATATTTGATTGATTTATTATTGATAGTTCTAGCAATGGCTGCACTACCAGAGGCGAGACTACCTAATGCACTTAGTGCAGTCAAAATGGGTACAATAAATAATAAGCCACCAATTTTCGGTACATTAATAAAACGAGGAATCTTAATATTTTTTTTATTTCAATCAATGGATTTATTGACTGTTTTACGCGCAACCTTGATCGCACTCATTAGATCTAGTGGTTTCTGAGTTTTCAATGCCCGTATTCCTGTTTGGAGAACATTTGAAAAACTCTTAACCTTTGATTTCCTTATCTTACACTTTCTCTTTGTTCCCTTTTTCACACCCATTCCGAATTTCTTTTTTGTTTTCATAATATTTGTAACTAAGTATGCTGCTGTTTTCTCTGCAATACTACTGTTTTTTGAACCAATACGTTCCCACGCTTTATTTATTAATACTGCGTCAGCCTTATGTCGATCAGCTAGATCCTTATATTGCGAATATGCAATATCATGTACTCTACAAGCTGCATCCAATTGATTTATCCCACGATCACCGGGCTCCAACCTTTGTTTTAGCTTTGTTTTAGCTTTAGTCCACAAAAATTTCAACCAGGAACATGTGCTTCAAATGGAAGTGTGTAAATTATTTTGTTGATAATACCACTACCTCGTTTTAAGTTTGAACTCTGACTGCAACAATTATAAAAAATTTTACCCTTTTTATATAATGCTTAATTAAGGAGCATTTCTCATCGAATGAACTACATTACACACGCGAATAAGCGTTTAATACGTCAAAATCAAGAAATCTGGGTTAGAAATATCGAGGGTGGTGATCACTCATTAGCAAATTTAGTTCCACGACATAATTCTTTCTTACCCAATACAATAAGAGCATTTGTTGTCAGTCCCTCAAACTGCGGAAAAACAAATGTTAGGCTCAGTCTTATTGAAAGTCCAAGCGGGATTAAATTTGAGAATATATATGTATTCTCAAAGAGCTTAAATCAACCAAAGTATGAGTATTTAGAGAAACTAATTAAACCGACAAAGGGAATGGGATATTATACGTTCTCACAAAATGATGAAGTTCTACCACCCGCTAAGGCTAAAGAAAACTCTATTATGATTTTTGATGATGTTACTTGTGAAAAACAAAACAACATTCGTTCATATTTCTGTATGGGACGTCATAAAAATATAGATTCTTTTTACTTATGTCAAACATATACTCATATTCCAAAACATCTAATACGTGATAACGGGAATATGATTATAATGTTTAAACAAGATGATTTAAATATGCGTCATATATATCGTGATCATGTAAATACTAATATGTTATATGATTCATTTATGAAAATTTCTCAAAAGTGTTGGAGTGATAAATACGGATTACTCATAATAAATAAAGATAACATTATGGAAAAAGAAAGATTCAGGACGGGTTTTAATGAATTTGTAATTATTTCAGAATATTAGTTTCACTTTGTAAGCTATATTTTCACAGTACATTATTAGATTCCAAAATGAGTAGATCATTCACTCTTACATTAAATGGCAATGAACCCATTACAAACATTTCTTATTTCCCACCTATTGGACTGACAAAAGGTGAATATGAGTGTGCACTCCTTGACCTTCATATGTACAACTCTATAACGAATGTTGATATAAATAAAAATCTATTTCATATTGGTGATAAAGTAATTCAACTTCCAAAAGGATCATATGAACTCAATGATATTTATGATTTTCTAAACAATAAACTACAAGATTATGATCTTGAGAAAACATTTCAAATGGAGAGTATTAATAACACACTTCAAGTTCATATTACGACTACCAAGGAACTTATTTATTTTAATAGAAACAACTCCATTGCACAATTGCTTGGTTTCAATAAAAAAATTATTTACCCCGACTAGAAAAAAACATATATATCGGATCAACCTATCATCATTTTAAAAATAAGCACAATACGCTTAGTATGTAATATTGTAAGCGGATCATATATTGTGTTACGTGGGCATATTAGTGCCCGAGTCCTGAAAGGGACTTGGGCCGAGGGAGAGGCGTCCGACATTCTGGCACCATTTGCCGGCATAAGCTACGTCGTATTCGGGTCGTGGGTCATAACGAGAATAAATATTTAAAGTGCCTGGAAAATAATATTAGTCATCAAGTTCGTCAGTCATCAGTCCACACTGCCCAACAAGCTTAGCTGTCGCTCGATCGCAATACGATCGGGCTGTGTTTTGGCCATATTCCCTCCCCTTCACACATTCGTGTGCCAATGGATCGTCGCAGGCCGCGCAATACGATCCCCTATTGTCAAGGTTTTCCGTCAAAAGTTATGTCATTGTTCTTGACCTATTCCACTTCTCGCGTCAGCACACCCCCTTAATGAAGCTCTAGCACACCATGGTTTCGAATTCTTTTTCACATTATAAATTTATTAAATAATATTTATGTCGGCGTGTGCCGGGGTTGAGTAACATAATATTGGCTAATTCATATAGGGATTAATTTAATTGACAATTATTGTATTAGCGGAGAGTATCGAATTTACCCCTTATGAAGGTCGCTCAGAGGGCTCTTGCAATTATCATATAACTACAAGGCTGATACTCGCCGCTGAAAAAGTTTATAATAGTCTATAAAAGTGTAGGATACTGCACGAATATTTATATATGTATGTTTATAATTTTTTTTTGTTTATCAATGGTAATTTAAAAACATTATCTTTATCTGAAGTATCGAAATGCTGATCAATTTCAAAACGAATGTCATCATAAAAATCTATAGTCTTAATATCATAGATAAAAGAATCAGTATCCATATACATTAAATTGATATTTTCTTGATATTTCGGCTTCATATAGTCATAGTGAAAATTGTACATTTAAAATTTTGATAATTCTAGAACGGTGAAGCCAATATAGACAGGCTTTTCATACAGAACATGCACTTTTTTATTTGAATTGCAAAAAAATCATCGGCTAATTGTAACATATTCTTAAAATTAAATTTTGAGATAAGTGCCCTAGCTCCCAATTTTTTACCATCACTCTCCCACCTGGACACTAATTTAATTGATTTCCTCTTGTCAACGTTCTCCATAGTCTTGCCATAGACTGCATTGTTTAGCAGTTTGAAAAAATTCTTTTCAAAATCATTAACAGCCAATGTTCTGTGATGATTGTTGCAATCAATATATTTTTTAAGCCAATCAGATTGATCAAATTTTAATATTCGATGAATTTTCTTTAAAATCAGTCCATGCCGAAGACATTGCTGTAAATTTCTATAGTGAATTAAATAATTATATTTGTTTGACAAGTCTGCAATCAATTTTGATTGTTGCATATTTTCATTTTTTTTGTTTTTCGAACAAAATGGTAAATCATTGTGCTGGCTGTGTAAGTTTTCAGTGTATTCCAAATCTACCTCTAAAATATAACCAATTGATTGATCACCTACGCACATGTTTAAATCAAAATTTTCAAAATTTCCCTCTTCTGTTTTTTCTAACCATTTAAAATTTTTATAGGGAATATCTTGTGACATAGCATACCCATATAAATTATTAACATCTAAGTATACAATATAATTTGATTCTTTCTCACAGTCGTTATCGTTATTTAGATATTTGTTATTTGCAATAGAATGACGTTTACTACATTGAACAAGACCGCCGCTAACACCTTTCATTATAAAATTATACATATCAATATCTGTGAGTAGTTCTAGTTCAATTTTAGTTGTCTTCAACATAGCATCCCATGATAGACCAGGAGTTGTATAATATTGACAAGGATCTAAATTATAGATTCTTTTACATACTTTTCCAAAAAATTTCAAAGACATCGCATAGCAACAGCACATCTACCTTCAAATATAACAATAAATAATCTAATAAATTTGCACACTCGAAGGCATTCCAAACGTTTTGAGCGTGCTGATAACTCTCTTCAGAACAGCGTCTTTCAGTTAATTGATTATAAAAATTTTCGCGCGACGGTAATTGTGTATCTGACAAGCGTTCAACTGAATTTAAATAGCTACACGGAAATATGCCTTTACGTTTAACCATTTGAAATTTGTTCGATTCCGTGAAAAATGACTTTATTGTGGTTAGATTTTCTTCTTTTAAATAACTGGCTAAGCTGTCTAAACTGGAAGACATAAATCTAAATGAATCTAAAAATCGAAGCTCTAACATTTCGTTGGGATTTATATAAATTTTCTTTGAGATCGAAATGTAAAACTCTTTATTTAGCGGAATTATAGAAATTTCACCAGGAACTTTAATTAATTCTTTCACAAACAAATGTGCATCGTATGCCGAGAGATTATGGAAAAATATTGGGAAAAATTTTGCTAATTTATAGTTTAAATTGCAATTACTATGAGCTACACCTCTATATTTGCCTGTTAAGTGACAATGATCTAGAACTCTTTTAGATTGATCATTTCGATCAATTTTGTTCTAAGTCAATTATTTTTTGTTGCTCCATTGATAGCGGATATAACGGTATCGTTACATTTAAGTTATTTTGATATAACATTAAACAATCGTTATATATGCTGTCAACAAAATGTGCTGCACAATCTTCACCATAATATATTCGATATATATCCAAACTATTGTCAAATGAACACTTTATATAATAACCATATGCATACGGTATATGCTTTTGAATTAAATTTACGTTTTCCGAAGTTTTCAGATCCATCCCTTCTAAAATACACTCAAAATCAGCATATGCTACAAAAGGAACATCTAATTGATTTTTAAAATTTTTAAATCTTAAAATCGCGTTTTCATTTGACGGCATCTCAGTTACAGTTCCATTACACTCCATAATATGTCGTTCCAGTTTGTCGCTATCGTCGAAATGTTGAAAACAGCCATTGCATAGAAGAATCTTCCTCGTACTTTTCGTTATTTGTTTGCGAAGTAATCTAATGGAGAAGCAAAGAAATATATATATTTTATTTTTTTTTTTAATTTTCTAATTTAATACTTACTTGGAAATATTTTTAATCCAAGCATAGTGATATTTGTCATCCTTCTCGAGAAGTAGTAGATATATAGTGTGTAAGACGTTGCTAGTTTTATTATTAGTTAAATAATATGGGCCGATGATTGTCTTTTCATCGCTGTCTACACCCAACACAGTTATACTAATTTCAGGATTATTTTCTTCAAATATTTTTATGCTGTCGACCAGTGTGGGAAATTTTAATCCACTAAAATTTAACGATTTATTATTAATATTTATTATATCCGACCCAATGTTGTAAATGCCCTTACGCTTATATTGATTGGGTCGATTCTTATGATAAGGAAATTTAACATAAGCCGATATTAATGCGCATTTAAAACAATATTCGTCTCTATTTTGCACGTTGATGCAGGCTTTTCTGTTTACTTTTTCTCTTGGTAAATCAATGAAATTAGAGCCCTTTATGAGCTGATATTTATTTATATTAACTTCTAAATGAACTATTTCAATTATGGAACAATCACTGTCTCGTTCTTGAAACTCGCTCATTTCACTTTTTATATAGTCATTTAAATTTTTGATTATTTCATTTAGATTTTCAGTCTGACTCGTTGTTGGATTAAAGGCTTGCATTTTTGTTTGAAATGACTTTAGATTTATTTCACAATGATTTTCACTCTCTTTAATCAAAACATAATTACAGAATTGTTCAAAATTAAATTTGATATTGACGTTTTTTTTGAGCTTCTTGGAGTAGAGCGATCACTTGTTCTTTGATTGATTGTTGAAATAATTTGATATACAAGCATTCTTTATTGGGATTTGTGATTATATAAGTTTCAATACGATTGCGAAATGCACTTCTTATACACCGCAAGTTATCACTTATTTGCGTACCAGATAATTGTTTATGCAAGTTGATGCGTAAGTGATGCGACCAACTAATTTTAGCAACATTTAGATTACAGACATCACCATATCGTATTTCACTAGCGACAGGATTGTTACTAGACCCAGGATTGTTATTGTTATGTAAAACACCAGCCATTTTTGTTTTTTGTTTTTAAATATTAATTGAAAAAGTTTATTGATTTTTCGTTTTATTATTGTTCTTCGTTACAAAAGTTTAAAGTGTAATTGTCGCCTTCCGATTTTAGTTTGACAAGCTTATAGCCCCCCGTCGCAATATGCTCGACAGCTTTCGGTTGCAGAGTACTAAAACGTTCTGATAAAAATACCACAAACTCTTCAAAAGTAAGCATAATTTTATCGCCGAAGCGTGTCCGTTTTACTTCGGCATTCTGGATCGGAATCGGTTGTGTTAAACGGGAGAGCTTTAACGCTCTTTATCGGAGGTAGAGAGACGGCACCGAGCTCGTTTCATTGATCTTCAAAGTTAGTTAGCTGCTGATGATGTTGATGACGAAGTCTTCAAATAGTGCGAGTGACTTCTTGCTCTGAATTTGACTTCTGCCTTCTGAATTACTGTAGTACTTACATCTCATATTTATACTAGTTTGCGAGACGAAAAAATCTGAGAAAGTTTGCGAAAAAATGTATTTAAATAAAATAATTACTCTCAGAGAGTTTGCGATAAATACTTATGCATATTTAAATAAAATAAATACGTGGGGTAAGTGATAACAATATATATAACAATGTTGCACGATAACACGGGAAGACAAGCGGGAGGGGGAGTCGGAGGGGGAGTGAGCGCGGTCCCCAGAGTGTTCCACAACATTCCAGAACACTCCAGCACACTCCAGAGCAGCTCCGCCCAGCAGCAACAACAACAACTTCCGCTCGCGATAAGCGCCCACACCAGCGATAAAAATTCTGCTCCAGAACATACAACGCAAAATTGGTCCAGAACATACAATCCGAAATTGGTCCAGAACATACATATTCATCGTACTAACTACTCTTTTCTAATTGTTTTTTCCCCATATTTGATTGATTTATTATTGATAGTTCTAGCAATGGCTGCACTACCAGAGGCGAGACTACCTAATGCACTTAGTGCAGTCAAAATGGGTACAATAAATAATAAACCACCAATTTTCGGTACATTAATAATACGAGGAATCTTAATATTTTTTTTATTTCAATCAATGGATTTATTGACTGCTTTACGCGCAACCTTGATCGCACTCATTAGATCTAGTGGTTTCTGAGTTTTCAATGCCCGTATTCCTGTTTGGAGAACATTTGAAAAACTCTTAACCTTTGATTTCCTTATCTTACACTTTCTCTTTGTTCCCTTTTTCACACCCATTCCGAATTTCTTTTTTGTTTTCATAATATTTGTAACTAAGTATGCTGCTGTTTTCTCTGCAATACTACTGTTTTTTGAACCAATACGTTCCCACGCTTTATTTATTAATACTGCGTCAGCCTTATGTCGATCAGCTAGATCCTTATATTGCGAATATGCAATATCATGTACTCTACAAGCTGCATCCAATTGATTTATCCCACGATCACCGGGCTCCAACCTTTGTTTTAGCTTTGTTTTAGCTTTAGTCCACAAAAATTTCAACCAGGAACATGTGCTTCAAATGGAAGTGTGTAAATTATTTTGTTGATAATACCACTACCTCGTTTTAAGTTTGAACTCTGACTGCAACAATTATAAAAAATTTTACCCTTTTTATATAATGCTTAATTAAGGAGCATTTCTCATCGAATGAACTACATTACACACGCGAATAAGCGTTTAATACGTCAAAATCAAGAAATCTGGGTTAGAAATATCGAGGGTGGTGATCACTCATTAGCAAATTTAGTTCCACGACATAATTCTTTCTTACCCAATACAATAAGAGCATTTGTTGTCAGTCCCTCAAACTGCGGAAAAACAAATGTTAGGCTCAGTCTTATTGAAAGTCCAAGCGGGATTAAATTTGAGAATATATATGTATTCTCAAAGAGCTTAAATCAACCAAAGTATGAGTATTTAGAGAAACTAATTAAACCGACAAAGGGAATGGGATATTATACGTTCTCACAAAATGATGAAGTTCTACCACCCGCTAAGGCTAAAGAAAACTCTATTATGATTTTTGATGATGTTACTTGTGAAAAACAAAACAACATTCGTTCATATTTCTGTATGGGACGTCATAAAAATATAGATTCTTTTTACTTATGTCAAACATATACTCATATTCCAAAACATCTAATACGTGATAACGGGAATATGATTATAATGTTTAAACAAGATGATTTAAATATGCGTCATATATATCGTGATCATGTAAATACTAATATGTTATATGATTCATTTATGAAAATTTCTCAAAAGTGTTGGAGTGATAAATACGGATTACTCATAATAAATAAAGATAACATTATGGAAAAAGAAAGATTCAGGACGGGTTTTAATGAATTTGTAATTATTTCAGAATATTAGTTTCACTTTGTAAGCTATATTTTCACAGTACATTATTAGATTCCAAAATGAGTAGATCATTCACTCTTACATTAAATGGCAATGAACCCATTACAAACATTTCTTATTTCCCACCCATTGGACTGACAAAAGGTGAATATGAGTGTGCACTCCTTGACCTTCATATGTACAACTCTATAACGAATGTTGATATAAATAAAAATCTATTTCATATTGGTGATAAAGTAATTCAACTTCCAAAAGGATCATATGAACTCAATGATATTTATGATTTTCTAAACAATAAACTAAAAGATTATGATCTTGAGAAAACATTTCAAATGGAGAGTATTAATAACACACTTCAAGTTCATATTACGACTACCAAGGAACTTATTTATTTTAATAGAAACAACTCCATTGCACAATTGCTTGGTTTCAATAAAAAAATTATTTACCCCGACTAGAAAAAAACATATATATCGGATCAACCTATCATCATTTTAAAAATAAGCACAATACGCTTAGTATGTAATATTGTAAGCGGATCATATATTGTGTTACGTGGGCATATTAGTGCCCGAGTCCTGAAAGGGACTTGGGCCGAGGGAGAGGCGTCCGACATTCTGGCACCATTTGCCGGCATAAGCTACGTCGTATTCGGGTCGTGGGTCATAACGAGAATAAATATTTAAAGTGCCTGGAAAATAATATTAGTCATCAAGTTCGTCAGTCATCAGTCCACACTGCCCAACAAGCTTAGCTGTCGCTCGATCGCAATACGATCGGGCTGTGTTTTGGCCATATTCCCTCCCCTTCACACATTCGTGTGCCAATGGATCGTCGCAGGCCGCGCAATACGATCCCCTATTGTCAAGGTTTTCCGTCAAAAGTTATGTCATTGTTCTTGACCTATTCCACTTCTCGCGTCAGCACACCCCCTTAATGAAGCTCTAGCACACCATGGTTTCGAATTCTTTTTCACATTATAAATTTATTAAATAATATTTATGTCGGCGTGTGCCGGGGTTGAGTAACATAATATTGGCTAATTCATATAGGGATTAATTTAATTGACAATTATTGTATTAGCGGAGAGTATCGAATTTACCCCTTATGAAGGTGCACACATCAGCAAAATACTGACTATTCACGACTACAAACGTCGCTCAGAGGGCTCTTGCAATTATCATATAACTACAAGGCTGATACTCGCCGCTGAAAAAGTTTATAATAGTCTATAAAAGTGTAGGATACTGCACGAATATTTATATATGTATGTTTATAAGAAAGGAACCAAGTCCCAACCAACTTACCCCCTCTTTAAATTCTGGGCGATGAGATCTCGACGCTCCGGATCCTGGGCTTTGGGAAAATATTATATTGGATATATATATATAAATATACGTGCACCAAAATACGGCTGTTCTTAAGTATACCAATTCACTTAAACACAAAATATATATATATTATGCCAGAGGCATGCGACTTCTTTAACGACTGGTGGAGAGATTCGTCCTCTCTAATTGTTTATCATGATTCGCACTTCGTCTATTGATTCGGTTGGTTTAAATATATTTCAATGCATGTTTGAATGCTTGATTTTCACTTGTTATCAAATTGTATTATTTGAGGATATTGGTCCTTGGTTATGCATGAGTTCACTTTAGCTTTGGTTGGCTCGATTAACACATTTATATTGCATCACTACTTTCTCCGACTTATGCAATTGGTCGCTACGCTCTGAACGGATGGTTCCTACAGCTGAACAAATTTCAGGAGCATGGAGATCACGGATACTGCGTCCACAAACATCGCAGTATGTCGGATGTCGTCCTTACTGTTGATTTTCTCCACGTTCTTTGATGACAATAGCGGCGCTGGTTCGACACAAGATTATTTCGAGCTGCAATTGTGTTATCCTCGAGGACTGTTGGATATGGTGGCTGGTCCTGGTGACAGAAGACTCCATGGACGACTGCCCCAGGGAAAGTCGTCTTCCCTCGAAGCTGCCGGCTTCCGTCAGCAAGTCACCCAAATGGATTCTCTCCCTTTTCTCTATTTGTCTAAGGTCTTTTATACCAGACTAGAGCTTTTACTTGGCTGCGGGTATGGATCGGATAAACTAGGTGTTCCCACCTAGAATTACTGTTTCTTGATATCTGCTATCTTGGGAGTCAACGGCTGGCTGTTGCCCGTTGCCAGCTACCGGAGTATGGTTACCGATA